TGGGATCTAGGATGACACCAATTAGACTGCTTCCTGAAGAAGTTCAGTGATGTAAATGTACCATTAGTGTTGTCTATTCTTCTGTTGTGTTCTTCAACGTCAGAACTGCAGGTTCCGGTTCGAGGCTGCACGACAGAAGAATATAATCAAGATTTTTATAACCCAAAATCAATCCTGGAGAAAAGGAGTAGAGTTGGCAAGTCTGTCCTGTTCATTTCTGCCTCTGACCAAATTTTAGTTGCATGACAGAGAGAGAATGTAATTGGTACTTGGGATTATTTCCAGTGATTGCTCCAGGGAAATCTGCTTTAATAAAGAATGTAAATTCAGTTTATGATAGGCATTGCAGGGACACATGTGTTTTGGAGCATGCCTAGTTAAACTGCAGTTTTTAGATGAGTTTTTAATTTGGATAACAGCCATTTAAATCTGATGCTTTTTAACTTAAAATTCTTGGAAGGTAAAACTGAAGGGAAGCATTTTAGTCTCCCTTCTGTATCCGCTTTAGATGATGCTTTCTGTGACGGTGGCTGTTCACTGGCTCAAACTGCAAGGGAAAATGTAACATATCTGTTAATTGCATAGTTCCGAGAAGACTGGCACATGGAAGTGGTTGTTAATGTGAAATGCCTCTAAATAATAATTCATACCTGTGGGATATGCTGAAGGGAGGATCCTTTCTGGTTAGTGCTGAATATGGTAATGCAGAAATGATTGTGATTGAAGACTTATCTGTCCTCGGAGGAACTTTCCACCTCTTTTTTTAATATTTTTATAGAGGAAATATTTTGGGATGGTCGAAGCTCCTGCAACAATTTCCAGGAGCTCTGGCCATGTTGCTTTAAGCATTTTTGCTCAGTTTGTATCTGGTTAATCCAGTTATAATAATGAACCCAACAATCGCATGCAGGCACTTAGTTTGTGGTATACATTTGTAAAGCAGAATCATTTCAACGGTTGTATATTTTTACAAGGATGAAGTGAAGAGAAATGCCCAGAATAGAGCTTCAAAAATATCGAGCAACTTTAGGAACAAACATTCAATCATTCATGAGGCAAGCACCACAGTGAGGTACAGGCCGAAGAGGGTTAATGCTTGTTTTTCCTGTTCTTTCTTTCATGGTAGAGGATGACAAGATTTAGAGTCAGCAGGAATAGTCTTGACAAGGCTCGCAATCTTCCATCTATAATGCGTCAATTTATGAGGCTGTTGGAGAGCAGCCTGGAAAGTGTACGTTTCTCTTGTGCCTGTGCACCGATAGACGTGATACGCTATTTCTGCAAGGGCAAGTCTGACTCTTTTGGTTGAGCTCCATCAAAAGACCTTCAAAGAGAGTATTTTGCAGACTGCATTAGTGAGATTTTATTTCTAAATACTTAAGCAAGCAGCAACAACAACAACAACTTGCACTTATATAACAGCCTCCACGCAGGGTAGCATCTCAGAGCCCTTAAGCTAATGCTTCTATTTACCATCATAAAGGGAGCAGCGAGGTGATAGTGCCATAAAAACAACTGCTTGCATTTATTTAGCAGCCTTCCCACAGGGCAGCATCTCGGGGCCTTAACTGTGACGGAGATGACTGGAAGCACAGTCAATGCCAAAGAGTAAGCGATAGAATAGGAGATAACCTGTACCCAGTGAGGATTATTGGCAAGGTGCCAATTGAAGGTGCTTGGAAAATTGTCAGGCTTCATCCCCATTCCCAGCTACTCTTTCTGTTGCTGGATATAGACTCAGAACGTCAAGGGCCAAGAGCTGGTTTCTAGTCTTGCTCACAGAAATACACAGACAATCGGGGTTATAGAATGGCAGTATTCGTCCACATTAATCTTAAAAGAGGAGAAAGTGAACTAGTCTGGGTATAAATTTGTTACTGAAGTATTCTGTGCAGATGTTTTATGCAGTTTCTAGGTATTTTGCTCAACCCTGCATCTGACATACATGGAACCTCATCCCCAAGATTATCCACGTGTGGGAATTTCCCTTTGCCTGGAATTAAAATATGCACTTTCTTCTCAGAGGGACGCACTCCGTTTACCCAATGGGGGAAACTTTTAGGCACAGATTAGCCACTGCCAAGGCTTGGGGATCCCAGAGTCTGCATTGGTGTCCTGCCAGAGGTTAACAAGCTAAAATAGCACTGTTTGTCCTGCTTGGGCACCCTAAGCAATTATGGATTTGGTTTGTTGTGTTAACAGAAGCCTAGTAGGAAAATTCCTTGTCTCAGTGTCTGGATTACCCCTCGAACCAGGCTGGATGGTCACCAGTGCCTTGGAGTACTGCAGACCTGCTTGGCTCAGGAACCAGATTACCAAGAATGCTACAGAGGATTGGCTCATACTTCCAATATTCTATTGCCAGGCATGTCATCTTGCAACCAACTCGATCCCAAGGAGAACCAAGTTACCTCTTCCGAGGAGTTTCTTTTTCTAGTTGCTAATCGCTGTTTTAATTGAATATTCTGACAGGTAATAACTTTCAGCATTTGTGCACATTTGTGGTGAAGCAAGGGGGACTATTGATGGTGAAACATCACAGTATTATGCACGTTTACTCTTTGTGTCCCCACCTGTCAAATTGTCAGAATCACTGATAATTTCTGACATTCTTTGTTCTCTCCAGGTTCAGGTGGGGTCTGTGAAGTCAGACAGCTGGAAATGAGTCAGTGAGTGAAGCATGAAGCATGTGAGATGTCAGGGTGACATGACTCTGGTGGAAGATGAGACCATGTCTCGGGCTGTGGTGGTGCCTGTGGGTCCCAGGGAACATTTCTGGAGTCTGTTTGAAAACAATAGTGTATTTCCAGTTGTTCTTGATTGAATAATTCTTGATTTATGGAATAAATCAAGAAATATTCAAACGAGAAAACGTATGTGTTGGCCACCACTGGTCTAAGGGAAATTAAGTAGGCTCTATTGTTATTTTGTTCTCCCACACCATCATGCCTTGTCACCTTTTGAACTGCGTGCCAAAAATAAATTACTACCTTTTTGAACGAGAGTGGATGAAAGGTGATTAAGTGTGATGGTGCTGCTGATCTTGTGGAGCTATGTGGGGGAGTGTGGAGGTTGTGCTCCTTGTTATTTGTTCTTTTTGACCTGGGTTAAATCGACCTTCATGCCCTGTAGCGTCCGATTCTCAGCTCTACATTTTCCAGTATGATGGGTGAGTGGATCATCTCACTGACAAGCGGTGAGTTGGATGCACATATGAGCTGGGGGGCAGGAGTTCACCGAAGGTCAAGTGTTAATCATAGAATTACGTCAAGACTGTACAGCATTGAAACCGTCCTTTTGGTCTAAATAGTCTATGTTTCACTCTCCCTTTGCCTCTCTTGTATCCCTCTATTCTCTTCCCAGGTATTTTAATAAAGCATGGATAATGACCATCAAAATTAAAAGCCTTAAAAAGAACGACTGCAGAGATGAAAGAAGGGTAAAGTAGATAGAAATGTGATAGAAAATCAATGTTGGATACAAGAAAGGAATAAAGCACTTCAGTTTATAGCTTTACCAATAGGTGGTTAACATAAGGTGTTTTAACCTTATGAAATTGATAAAGTCTATGTTGCTTTCTCTGTAACTACTTTCAGTGGAGGACTGAAGTACTGTAATTGGTATCTGAACAGTTTCCTGACAATTGTGGAAAATGTTATCAAACAGGTCTTTGTATGAAAATTGTGTTGCATAGTGAACGGTACTGCAGATACTATAATTTTTTCATGGAAAACTGAAACGCACAGGAAGTTAGTTGTTGTCTGGTGGACCAAAATCTGCTTGTGGATCTTTGTTAAAAATAATTTATTAGAGAATTAAATGCATCCTTTATTTGAATAGGAGGAAATGTACACTTTAAAATTGGAGTTAAATAGCTTTTCACATAAGATTAGACAGGAATGATGGAACATGATGTGTCATTGAACATTTAATAATCAAATAATAATAATAATCCTTGCATTTGATATAGCGCTTTTCACGTCGGGAGGACGTCCCAAAGCGCTTCACAGAACACACTGTAAAGTGAATTGACTGTATATTTGTAGGCGAACGCGGCAGCCAATTGCGCACAGCAATGTCCCACAAACAGTCATAGATTGAAAATGACCAATTTGCTATTGTTTTTGGTTTTGGAGGGATTATTATTATTAGGCGTGTGGAGTAAGCAAACTTGCCCAACGTTTCGCCCTCTGCCTAGAATTGAACTCGGGTCTCTCACTTGCAAAGCGAGTGCTCTAACCACTGAGCTACAGGACTCCACAGTCCACAGTTAGAGAAGAATTCTAATTTTAAAAACAAACTACTGCAGTTAGCACCAAGTAATGGTGCAGTATTTAAATGCAGAATGCAGATAATTCTGGCAGATAGATCTACCAACTCGTGACTGTCGTATGTGTGTGTGTGTAGTGTGCTTTTATGTGTGCGGGGGGTGTGGAGGTGGCGCCAAGGTGATGTTCTTGGCCATGAAATGTTGGGAATCAGGTAAACCCTCTGTAGCAGTCTCGGTAGTGCTGTTCATAAAACAAGTGGGTCCACAGTGCTCCAGGGAACCGCTGATGCCCAACCAGCCAGCCTGGCTCATCGCTAGAACTTGGAGCAGGCATTTTTTCCACTTGGCTCCCGTTAGCATTGCATCCCAAACATTTAACTGGTATGGGTAATCCTGGCTGAACAAGCAGAGGAAGTTTGTCAGACGATGCAAAGGATACATTTTTAGTTGGTTAAACTCCAGCAGTAACCGAAGCCTTGGCTCCTGTCAACCTACACATAATATTCTCTGGAATTAGGTATGCAAGGTGCATCCCTCCAGGGAAAGAGTGCAGACGCAAATAAGTTTCCCCTTGTAGGTGGCATACATATGTGGAACGCTGTCTCTATGTGGGATACTCATGGTGATGGATTTCCACATGTGGCAGACCTAAAAAAGATTCTAGCCTTTTTGGACATATAATGATTGGCTCTTTGCTTATTTTGTTCCATTTGTTTGCAGGTTTTCGCAAAAATGATGAGATGAAGGCGATGGAGGTTTTACCAATCTTGAAGGAAAAGGTTGCGTTTCTCTCAGGTAGGGTGTGAGTTCTCTATAATTAAAGAAATATTATTTCCTTCAAACTAACCAATGACAAATCTGAGATGGTACAAAGGATATCAAGGACAATGAAATGGGACATGATAATCGGGCTGTGTATTAAGATATGTGAAAAGCACATAGAACAACGGGAATGCCCAGCATGGAAGAAGACCTTTTAACCAGTAGTGTCTGTGCTTTCAGAGCAAAATTTTCAATCCCCTTTTCCCTTAGTCAATAATAATCCTTGTATTTGATATATTGTCTTATCGCGTCGTTCAGACGTCTCAAAGCGATTCACAGAATATATTGTAAAGTGTACAATGCAGTGTATGCGTATTTTGTGGGCGAAATCGCGGTCGCCAATTGTGCACAGCAGTGTCCCAAAACAGTTTTAAAAAGTAGTTGATGCCTTTTTAGGTTTTTATCCAGTTCCCTTTTGAAAGCTAAAATGGATTCTGCCTCAACCCCACTGCCAGGGCATTCTGTATCCTAACTATTCTATGAATGAAAAAAAATTCCTGACCTCTCCATTTGCTTATTTGCTAACTATTTATGTTCGTCCGTCCGTCCGTCCGTCCTTCCTTCCTTCCTTCCTTCCTTCCTTCCTTCCTTCCTTCCTTCCTTCCTTCCTTCCTTCCTTCCTTCCTTCCTTCCTTCCTTCCTTCCTTCCTTCCTTCCTTCCTTCCTTCCTTCCTTCCTTCCTTCCTTCCTTCCTTCCTGTATTTATCTATTTGTTTGTTTATTTCTGTTTGCTAACATGTATCAGGCTTTTTCTCTTATCAGTTGTGGCACTTGATCCCTCTTTGAAATGTTTGCTCTCCGGTCTTTATTTGTTTGAATATTTTATTTTGTTTGCAGGTGGGAGAGATAAGCATGGAGGTCCCATTTTGACATTTCCAGCACGCAGCAACCATGACAGAATAAGACAAGAGGATCTTAGACGACTTATCTCTTATTTAGCCAATATTCCCAGGTAGGACCAATTACTTTCTATTTAATTGCTCAGCAAATGCAGGCTGTATTGGAGCTTTATACCAGTCTGTTTTATAAATAATCGTATTGGAAGTTTACATTTAATGTTTCCTTCACAGCTCTACTTCAATGCCTTTCAATGTGAGTCGTCTATGGAACTTATTTTTAAATTTGTTGCAATAGGAAGTATAGAATACAAAACTATGGCTTGATGTGTTTTTGGATGTTGACTGCAACTTTGGAAAATTTCAGCAATCAACGATGGAAATTTTTTCATCTTTATCAAAATTGTCGTGTTCACACATGAATACACAATCATTCTACTTCACAGTAAAATCCTTGCTTTGGGATGTCCTCCAGAAGGGAAAGGCACTATACCCAATGCAAGGATATATTATATTTCAAACTACAAATTAATAAATGACATTCCATTGTACACTTCAACACCATTTTTGATTTGAAAAATATTGGACTTTTATCTTAAATACATTTTATATTTTTCTACTTGAAATAAAAACCTGAGGCTGTTTTTCCCAGCGTGGTTTTAAAGCTGAAAATGTATGATTTACGAGTTAACATTGTGAGCCACTGAATGATGTAAGTGGCTGGCGTTATTGTGAGTTATTGAGTGGGTGAGGGAGAGAAGCAGAGGTTTGAGCCCATCTTTTTCTATGTCTCCAGACTCTGATCAACATCTCTACTTCCCCTCACAAAATTTGATCTCAGATTTCTCCCAGATCTGCTTCACAAAGACTATCAGACCCAATGCCAGAAACACGTTATAGTTCTGGCTGCAGTGCAATGTGAGCTTTGATGCGATAGTGTTTGAATGAACTATCGCATTAAGGAGACAGTGCAGAAATGATTTGATTAGCATAGCTTTACAGAAAGGGACATTGTCTCTATTGAAAAACAACAGATAAATGATAGTGGACGATGATAAAGACAGGCTGTTTCCAATGCATGCTTAGTCATCTGAACAGAATTCTTAGTTTATAATGTAGTTGGAATATACCCTGAATCCTTTTTGGTGTCCTACATTTGATTGACTTTAAAACAATCAAATATGTGTTGGTGAGGGCATAACATCTGACAGAATACTTATCACAGTGTTCCTGATAAATGTAATGAGAAAGAATTACTGTATTCAATCCTTGCCTTAATTTTTGTCCCCAATGGGAAGAAAAAGGTCTTGCTGAAAATTGGTCAATTCATAAAGGAATATTAATTTATCTACCGGACTAATGTCAAAAACTGCTAATTATATTTCAAGGAGACTAAGAGTTATGTTCACGAAAGGATTTTTCTATAATCTTGAAAGAAAGAAAAAATCACTAGCATGTTTTTTCCGAACAAGAATATTGGAATTTAAGGTTTTCAATTAAGGTGGAGAGCTATTTTTTTCTTTAACTGTAACATTTATTGAACTCTTCATGCCATTCTTCAGTGAGGGAGAGCGCATTTCATTCCAATAAATATCTCTGGAATTTCCATAGGTGGGATGCATGGAATTCTCAGTTTGGTTTGGATACTCTTATAATAATAATAATAATCCTTTCATTTGATATAGCGCTTTTCACATCTTCTAGATGTCTCAAAGCGCTTCACAGAATATACTGTAAAGTGAATTGACTATATTTGTGGGCGAAATGGGGCAGCCAATTGCGCACAGCAGTTTCCCACAAACAGTTGTGGATTGAAATGCCCAATTTATTATTGTTTCTTTTTGAAGGATTATTATCAGGCGTATGGAGTAAGGAAACTTATCCGTGGTGATGGGTTTCAGCATGTGTCAGATACCTGGCTGACCAAAACAAAATGCCACAGAATTGTTTCTCCTGCTTTCCTATGAATATATAGAAATATGGAAGCCTGCTCAATAGATCACAAAACCCTAGTTGGTCAGTTATAAATAAAACTTGCGTTGTTTTCTATAAGCCTCCACTGGATGACTTTATAGCATAATGCTGAGATTTCTATTTGCATTTGCTTTATTTCTGCAAAATCAATGGAAGGTTTTTTTATGCATTGTAGGGACTACTACTAAGATGCTACTTTCAATATTGGTATTTCAAGTAGTGACTACACAGAAATCTTAATCTTAAACCCAAAACCAATACCACAGCATTTGTGTCCTATAAAGTATCAGATCATTCCTGCAACATTGAATTCCATTTCCAGTCTTGGAGGTCTTTTTTCAAGGAGTTAATTAACATCACTTCAAGTGCTTTTGGTGGGAATTTGTTCCACATATCCACCACGCAGAAAAGGTTAATGTTTATTACATTTCTGATCTTGCTTGAGGCTTGTTAATTTTGAACAGCTGACTCATACTCCAAGTCAACTAGCATGTGTATATCCATATCAATATGTCCATTTCATATAACCACAAGTATACAGTCAATTCACCTTACAGTCTATTCTGTGAAGCGCTTTGAGATGTCTAGAAGACGTGAAAAGCATTATATCAAATGCAAGGATTATTATTATATAAATAGACTTGCAGAATTTGGGTACAAATCTATATTGGGTGCACAGGAAGTGATATTGGAGACACTGCCTGTGCAATGGTCACTAAAAATCAAAACAGCTGCAAAAAATAACAGTAAAATAAATGTTGATTTTGTCCATTGTTAATTAAAATAATGAAAGCAAATCAACTGTATAAACAAAAGCTTGAATCCAGCACCTACTCCTTCAACTATCTGCTTAAATTGCCCAGATTTATTTAAATACAAAAATGACTGCATACTTTGAAATCAGCAACACATTTTACATAATATTTCTTAATATTATAAAGTGCATTTTCCAAATAATTTATGAACAGCAGGGGGTACAGAACAAGTTGTTGCAAATCTCTAAGCCAGTGCCTCTACAGACAGCTTCTTCCATTCAACAACTCCATCTGTTTCCATTGCTATGGTGTTTTTTAATCATGTTTGCTAGTTTTGACATTAATTATATGAGCCTTAACTTTTAATGTTTTCACACATGAAACTTTATTTAATATATTCAGAATTTTGAATGGTGTTCATCCACCAGATTAATTAACCACTCAAAAATTTCAAGTTTGCAGACGATACTAAGTTTAGATTGTGGTAAATTGTGAGGGTGACAGTGGAAAATTACAGAGGGATACAGACAGATTAAGAGAATGGGCAGAACATTGGCAAATGCAGTTTTTAATGTGACAAAGTGTGAGGTGATTTATTTTGGACCGAAAAATGTTGAGTCGGACTACATTCTACATGGAGAAGCGCTTGATGAGCAAAGGGATCTGGGTGTTCAAAAAGTAGGGCACAGGTGCAGAAAATTATCAGAAAAAAAAGCTTATGTGACATTGGACTTAGCACAAGCGGGCTCTTATCTAAGAGTCTGGAAGTGATGTTAATAATAATAATAATCCTTGCATTTGATATAGCGCTTTTCACGTCGGGAGGACGTCCCAAAGCGCTTCACAGAACACACTGTAAAGTGAATTGACTGTATGTTTGTGGGCGAACGCGGCAGCCAATTGCGCACAGCAATGTCCCACAATCAGTCGTAGATTGAAAATGACTAATTTATTGTTTTTGGGTTTTTGGAGGGATTGTTATTAGGTGTGTGGAGTAAGGAAACTTGCCCAAGGTTTCGCCAAGGTTAGAATTGTATGAAAGCTGGTCAGACCCCATTTGGAGTTTCGTGTGGAGTTTTGTGCACCAAACCGTAGGAAGGATATATTGGCCTTGGAGAGTGTGCAGCTTTGATTTATTAGAATGATTCCGGGAATAGAGGACCTACATTATGATGAAAGCATGGAATAACTTAGCTTGTGTTCTTTTGAATTCAGGAGGTTGAAGTTGAAATCTGATTGAGGTGTACAAAAATATGAAGGGATTTGATAGTCTGAATAGTGTGCAACTGTTTCCTCTGGCAAGAGAATTGAGGATGAGAGGCAATAGCCTTAAACGTGAGGCGAAATGTTTTAGAAGTAAAATAAGGAAGCATTTTTTCACGCAGCAGGTGGTGGGAGTGTGGAATTTCCTCCTCCAGAGGATAGTCCAGGCAGAGTCAGATGAAGAATTTAAAAGCCAAATAGATAAATGCTTGATAGACAGGGGTATTAGGGATATGGAGAGAGGGCAGGGATATGGAATTGAGTTGTGGATCAGCCAAGATCTTGGAAAGTACTGGTATAGGTTTGATGGACCTAATGGCCTAAATGGTTCCAATGTTCCCAAACAAGATGAGGTAGAAATTAAAGAGAGGACTGTGACAAAGGAGTCAAACATTGTAGAAAAAGGTAAAAGGAAATATTGGGGAGCAAACATGGAATCCATCAAGAGGGCGAGGGATTGAAAAGAACTAAAAAGATTACTCTTCAAGAGAGCCGGCACAGATAAGATGGGCCGAATGGCCGTCTTCTGTGCTGTAAATTTCTATGCATCTATCGTTCCACATAATGTTAAATTTATATTAAACTTTGATTAGACCACATTTGGAGAATTGTGTACCCTTCTGGTTGCCACTTCTGGATTTGAAACATTGATTGTCCAGCAGCTTGGGATGTCTCCCCAATGTGAAAGGTGCTGTACAAATGTAATTTTGTTGTTGTTGCCACACGACAAGAAAGATATTGGCATTAGAGTGTTGTTGTGGTACCATCCTTATAAAAAGCTTAGATTTATAAGGATGGTATCACAACAAAACCAACTTGCACTTCACGCGGGTTAGTGATGCCTAAGTTGCGCAAGGTTTCAGTGGGTCTGAGGGAGAGCCTGGAGCGGTTGAGGAGATCAGACCCACAGGAGAGAAGACGTTGACGAAAGTCAGCTACAGGAAATTTGCGCTCGTCCAGGCCTTGATGTCCATCAAACAAGCTGATAGGACATCAGCGGACTGGGAGTCGCAGTTGGAACTGGAGAAGTAGATTTGAAGTTGATCTCATGTCTGTGGAAGTTGATCTCATGTCTGCGGATGACATAGCCGAGAGGGAGGATGTAGATGAGTAAAAGAAGGATC